CATGCTTCTATGTTTCTGGATATATTTTGTTCATCAAATCCCCATATCCCGCTTAATCATTCAAAGATGTAATAAAAAAGTAAACAATATGTTTAAACACATTTTTCTTTTCATTAAAGTTACATTTCAACCAGAGTCTATAACTCTTCTATAGAGTGTGATTCAAACTTCACATTTTAATCCTGTTGACAGCCAAAAGTCAAGTTCAATGGTACAAATATTGCACATGTTCAATAAATAGTTGATGGCAATGAACATCAGCATGTGAGTATATATTCAGCGTCATTCTCAGCAGCACTGTTTGTCTGTCTTCCATATGAAGGAATCCTTATTGTATTTATCAATTTTGGATTGATTTTCTGTCATCGTGTAGATTTCAGCATATCAAAAGAGTAAACTGCTATTCCCCACATTTGCCTTTGTGTTTTGGTTTCTTTCTCCTTATTTTTCATTTATTTAAAAACTTAATGCCTATATAATTTCCAACATATAATTTTCAGCTGGGAGGGTTCTTAGTAATCCACACTTGTCATTTCACTAATGCAGCTCAGGGAGGTAAGATGGCTAGTTCCCAGTTCAGAGTTCTTTCTGCAACATGAGTCTGCCTCAGCTAAGCTGCCTCTGTTCTAGCCATAAACTTCAAACCACACAGAGCCCCCTGAGGTTACTAAAACAGCTACACCCAGCAACAAATCATAGCAACTTCCACTCATTAAAAGCCCTGGTTGCACCTCAGGGGCAGGAATGCGTGATTATCTCCAGTAACTACACAGAAGCACTGCTATTAGACATAGTGCACAAGAGGGTCTTCCTCTCCCTCTATTGCTCAAATTCCTGCCCTAGCCAGCCCGAGGACCACGGAAGCCGGGAGATAGTGGGTTAAAATGGATGTTCTTACAATTCGGAAAAGATGTTATCAATTTCAGGTCGAGGACAAAGATGGTTCAGGAAAACTCTGTACACTTCTGGAGTGAAATCTTCTTGAGGTATCGAATCATTCTGGGAAATAAAACAACACTGTCAGTGAATGGTCTTTTTCTTTCCCTATCTTCCTCCCTCCCTGCTTTCCTCAATTCCTTCCCTCCCAACCTTCATTCCCTCTTTTCTTCCATGCGTTCAGGGTAAATATTCAGAAGACATTCATGAGCCCAGCTGTGGGCTCCATTTGAACACTGGCTTTGAGGTATCAAAAATCTTATTCTCTCTTGTGTTTTCATTATAATTTAAGTGTAAGAGTTTTCTTCTAAAGAGATGTTAAGGCAATTTCTTAAATACATTTCTAAAGTGAAGTTAGACTTAGTAAAAAGAGGGTCTCTTTAGCATATTTTTAAAGTTTGCTTTTTTTTTGGTTTTAATCTTTTTTATTGTGATAACATTTATGCAACATAAAAAATTTACCATTTTAACCATTTTTAAGTGATCAGTGACATGAAGAACATTCACATTTGTTAAAAAAATGTAAAGAACTGATTTTGTGTCTTTTTTCCCAAATAATGCTCTTTCCAGTTTAAATAATTCGATACATTGTAAAATCTCTCTATTTAAAAGGCTAATATGCAAATTGTTTGCTCAGGAGTCTGACTGGGAGAGCAGGAGTTTGATCACTCCCTATGACATGCACTGACCACCAGGGGGTGGTGCAGAACATGGCGGGTGACCAGCGGTGGTGGTGGGGCACTGGGGGAGTGAGGAAAGGAGGAGGCAGGGAGGTGGAGAGGCGGGAAGGCCAGCCCTAGGGACCCTACCCTGCACAAATTTCGTGCACCAGGCCTCTAGTGTTTTCATTAGACAGGAACCATTATTTCTCACTGACTCCTCCTGGTCCTATTGTTTGGGAAGCAAGTCACTGACATGAAAAATCACTTCTATGACTTATTTTTCTGTGTAGTCGGGCTGCCATGGAAACCGGAAACATGTATTCAAGCCTTTGTTAACAGGAAGGACATTCTTTATGCCGTTTTCCTATTTCAGGTAAGTGTTTATATGGGTGTTTTTATTTTCAAGCCCTTAAACCAAAGAAAACACCCTTCCTTTTACCATATTCATAGGTTTTGAAATGTACTTTTATAAAAGTTTCTAAAAATTATTGTCTAAAATCGTACACTCCTTGCTAACAGGTAAGAAAACTTAGCTCACCACTTAGCTCACTCCCATATTTGTGGACTGAACAAATAAAAGAATATATTTTTTTTACTAAACCCATTTATAGAGCACAAAAAATCAATTTTTAAAAACAGAATTTTGAGACAAACAAACATTATACATAGCAAGATGCATTACACCATTAAACTTAAATACCTGGACACCAGTTTTGAAATCATGAGCACAAGTGGCCAAATCCAAGAACAATGGGAAGTATCCATGGATTGTTTTATTGGTGTTTTGCCACTCATAAAATGCGGACAAGTATAACCTGTAAACTGGTTTCCAAAGTCCAGTTCTATTCACAAGATGGAAGAAACCCTTTGCCTAGAAGTTGTACATTTTCCATTGCCCCCTTTCTGTGACTTAAGCACCCACATCTCCTTAAGTAGCTTTGTAAATAGCTTAAATGACCTTCTCTATTCTACTTTTTGGCTGAGAGACACAGGGAAGGTAAATATTTAAATATCAATAGTAGTAAAGAAATACTGAATAGCTCTGTGAACCCCAAGCGTGTTCTCCCATTCTCTCTACTATTTAGTTACTATTTGGAGTTCACTCCTCGCCCCACCCCAACCTTACCCAGCACACACATATATGGATTTTATCTAAGAACATCAATAATTGTTTTCTTTCCCTTCCTGACCCCTTTTCTCCCTCCCTTCTTGTCTTAGCTAAAATCTCTTCCTCTGGGAGCCTTTCCTTTCTCCCAGACAGGGTTTTGCCTTCCACTCTGTGATACCATCACACCTTGCTTGTCTCATATTTCAACACTCATTTAACAGGATTCTGCTCCCAGCTGTACAATTCTATTACTTTCCAGCCTGCAGATCTACACAAGCTAGGACCTGCATTTTGCTTGTTAACTGCTGTATCTCCAGTGTGTAACATACTGCAGGTGCACACTAAATACTTACTAAATGAATGAATGTAATGTATGAGAAAGGTAGACGTTGATAGCAAGGACTTATGTGCTGTATGTTTCCCTTTGAATAGCAGTTTTAGCTAAAGTCATTTATATAAGATTCCAGACACATAACTCCATAGAACAATATGCTTTAGTAAAACTCTAACCATGTTTATTTACCAGCTGTGAATCAGAACTTCCTATAAAGGGAAACAGATTAATTAAGATAATATGAATAAACACAATTTATTGTCATCACCAGTTGGATGTTAGAGCATAGAAAAAGGAAAACATTTAAATACAGCTGATTTTCCTTGTCTCATTTTTCTCTTGTCCAACTTGAGCAAGCCTTTGGAGTCAGTGGGTGAGAGAAAAAAAAATTTTTGTCAAAATGTGCATCATTGGGTCCTAGCTGGTTTGGCTCAGTGGATAGAGCGTCGGCCTGCAGACTAAAGGGTCCTGGGTTCCATTCCAGTCAATGGCACATACCTGGGTTGAGGGATCAATCCCCAATAGGCGGCATGCAGGAGGCAGCCAATCAATGATTCTCTCTCATCATTGATGTGTCTCTCTCTCTTTCTCTCTCTCTCTCTCTCTCTCTCTCTCTCTCTCTCTCTCTCTCTCCATCTTCCGTTCCTCTCTTAAATCAATAAAAATATATTTTAAAATGTATATTATTGAAAGCTAAAGTGAAAGAGTATAGGGGAGTAATTTTGTAAGAATAGGTATTTAACATTCAGAAAATGTTATTTGAAAATATGTTAATTTATTGAAGTAGACTCTAATAACTCAAGAGTTCACATACAGATTTCATCTCAACAAAACAATGAATTTTTCTCAATAAATTCAGTATTTTAACCTATTCACAATATGTTTTTTCTAAAGCTATAAATCAAAAGTTGAGTTAGCCATAATGTACATGAAATACTTACAAGTAAGCTGATCATAATCAATCTCCAAAGGTTTTTGTTAATTTTTCATTTGTTAATTTCAGAGAGAAAGGAGAGAGAGAGAGAGAGAGAGAGAGAGAGAGAGAGAGATACAGACAGACAGACATGGACTTGATGTTCCATTTACCTTGGTTTATCGAGATAATACTGTAATCAACTGAGCTACCCAGCCAGGGCTTCAATGAGGCTTAAATTTTTTATATCAGTTATTTTAAGAATCACAGCTACAAAAATGATTATATTTCTGATTTATATTTAGGATGTAAGACATAGGAAAAAGGCAAATCTAACAGTTATCCTATAAAAATAATTTTTATTCATAATATTCTTAAGTAAAATTTAAGGTGTTCTTTTAATCCAGAAAACACTATCTCCCTCAGTATTGCATATACTATATGTTCCTAAATATAGTAAACTTTGTTATTTAAAATAAACACATGGATTTACTCCTTATCTTCATTATTAAATGAAAATACATGTGCCAACGCTATGCCAAGACCAAAATATAACTATAATAAACTTTATTATTTAAAAGAAACGCATAGATTTATTCCTTATCTTCTTCATTAAAATGCAAACACATAAGCCAATGCTGTATCGAGACTACTATACCATTCCAAATGACCCTGAGCTGTTCTCAAGTTAATAAGACTTAAATCAAAGGTAATTTGGTTCAAGTAAACTATTTTCAGTGCTCAGAAAGTTTGTGGGGAAAGTGGTAATTTTCTGAATATGCAAAGGTCTTCAAAGGTTTCACTGGAAAATGTGTTTGGATTATTAATAGAACTACAGTAATTGCTTTGTCTCTCTTTTTTGCTGTAGTACTACTTTTTAACAATTAAGGTAATTTGGACAAGCGACTGTAATCTCTGAAGGAGTACCCTTTAAAGGAATGTGTTATTCCAATGGATCACGTTGGCTGGGACACAAGTTCAAGTGCATTAATTATCCCTAACAATGTGCACAAAGACAATGTTTAAAAAATCTCAACAGGATATCCACTGTGTTTCTGGTAATGTGCCTATTTACAGAACACAATTAAATCTAGTTGGAATGACCGCCAGCTATGAAACGAGGCTCCAGACATGCAGGATTATCTACCATTTATATAACTTTTCTTCTGTGTAGTATTTAAAACACTTCTTGTTAGTATATCCCGAATCTTTTTGCTAATTAGTAGATATTTTCTAGAGACACTGTTCTGTAGATATGAAATTACAATGAGGATTTCAAACATAGTTTGCAGAAGCATTTATTTCCAAGCTCTGAAACTGTCTCTGCTTTTTAAATCTTTTAAAGCATTCAATTTCTACAACTCTTCCAAGTAAAGTGTACTTTGCTAAGAATAATGATCTTTCAAAACTTTATGATGGAGGTTGATCATATTTTTTAAAAATCTCCAATTTGTTTTCAGAAAACTGTCATAACATTTAATTTACTAAAGATAAATATGTTTTTCAATTTAAACATGACTCCTGTTATTTGAATCTCATTTTCCTTTTCAAATGTCTCCAGTTGACTTTGGTCTGAAAGCGTGAACCTATAATAGACATAGTGGATTGTAAAAACTCAATTTATATTTATTGACTGAATTTTCAGAATCCAATTGTTTAGAAAATTGCAATTTACAGAGAATTGATTGATGGGTTTGACTTTCTATGCAGTTTCATTTTTTACTCCTTTTCCTTAGCTAGATATTAATAATAATAATAACTTAAATTTTTGATCATTATATGTCACAAATGTTATCCAGTAAAGGTAAAATCTGGAGCAGTTACAGAGGAAAAACACTTGATGCCCATCTTTCTAAATTAATCTCTCCCACTTTCTTTTTTTGTGCTTAAATGCAGTTCTCATTCGGGCCTAGTCTTTCCGGCCTCAGGGCCTTGCACACATTGTTTAATTTTTCTGGCATGAACTTCTCTCATTCTCACTGGCAGCCCTCCACTCCTTTTGTTCCTAGAATTCCCCACAAATTACACATGTCAGTCGAGGTGTTTGACCAGCATCCCCAGACTCTGATCCTGGAACCCTGGGACTTCATTGTGTTCACTACCATATTCTCAGGGCTTCAGGGCACCCAGAAAGAATTCAAGAAATATTTATTTAATTATCAACCTTAGTTATTTCTTTCTTACTCCAAAGCATCTACTGGGAGAGCACTAATAAGCAAGTTTGGTCATTTCATTTTGCTTATTAAAGTGAAGGTTAAAATGTTTGGGAGCTCCCCCACTGCTCTGCCCTAGTGTTGGAGCACCAGCATCTGTTTCCACCTGTAGCAGGAAACTGGTGGTGGAATGGCACTCTTGTTTTTCCTTGTTTTCTTCTACCTACCAAAGTCGTTGTTACACTTAATTTTTTTTTCTGAAAAGTATTCCCAACAAGAACTGACCGGTGAATCTAATAATGGCACTCATACTTTTTTCACCTTTAACCATACCCTTAAGAATAGCTCCTCAACCTCGTTCTCTGCAACTTGAGCATTGCCAGTGGGTTTTAGAGGCTCAAAGGTTCTCCCTACAGCATAAGGAGTGTCCTTGGGAAAGTGCTTACTTGTTGCCTAGATACCAGGATAAAAATACTTTGCAACAGAAAGGAGAGTTCTGCATAGAGCAGAGAAAAAGGCGTTCTGCAATAGACCCATTTCTCTCAGAAACAATGGTAAAAATCATTTTAGAGCCAGGTTGTAGAAATGTATTGAAATGAAGGCAAATTCATTGAGTTTCAGTGAATAACACATATTGAGTGCCTTGAATATGTTTGGCATGAAAAGAGCATATTACAACCTTGTCTTCTCATCTATCTTTCCACCATCTGAGCAAAGTAGCAGTCTCCAAACTGCTGATCTGCTTCCCTGTCAGCAAAAACTTTGAGCACAGCCCTGCAGAGCATGTAAATATATTTCTTTATAAACATGTACTGCTATATTAATTGCTTAGTAACTTATAACTCTTAAAACTAGAAATTTTAAGAGTTAAGATTACATTCATATTTCAAATATCTTCCTAATCATAATCTATAATGATTAGCTAATATCTCAAGGGACACCAAATATCAAGAAGTTTAAATTCTTGATAATGTTAATATTTTTGGCCAATACATTTTATATCAGTTTTTAATTTTTATTGATAAAGAACAAAGGTCTTTCTAGATTAAAATGTTGGAATAAGGAGAGTGAAAGAAAATATAATTACAGTGACCTCACATATTGTAAATATTAACAAATAAGTCCTATGGTTTTTTTTTGTTTGTTAATTCTCACTGGAAAATAATTTTTCCATTGATTTTTAGAGAGAATGGAAGGGAAGGCGAGATGGAGTGAGGGAGAGAGAGAGAAACATTGATGTGGATTAATTGCCTCCTTCACCTGCCCTGACCAGGCTGCAAATCAAATCGAATCTGCAACCCAGGTATGAGCCATTGACTGGAAATCAAACCCGTGACCCGTTGGCCAGCTCTCTAACCACTGAGCAACACAGCCAAAGCTCCTATGGTTTGATGTTTGGGTAGAATTTGGGGCAACCTACACTTTTTTATGATTGCTCAAAGCTATTTAGTAGTGCTAATTTTAGATAGGCAACATGCTCACCCTTGATGATGGAAGACTACAAGCCTCTAAAGCAGTTTCAACTCGTTTCCGGTCTGCTGAAAACAAGCGGTATATGCTGCAAGTGAAAGCACAACAAGTGAGAGGTGTTTGAAAGGCAGATGGATCCCAGCACTTGTAGGTGATGCCAAACGAAAACATTCCACTGAATCAACCTCTTTGGCATTCAGCTTTAAAGCATTAAAAACTTCCCATCATACCATGCATATGCACATGTGTTCTGAAAGATTGATGCATGTGCTTTTTATAATCAAAGTGCCTAATATAAAATCAATATTTTGAGACAATGGTGATCACTCAATTAAAAGGCATTGCACTAAGTAGTCTCTAATATTAAGCACTAAAATAAATATCCTTGCTAATTTTGTCCCCTTGCTGCTACCCCTTGCTCTAAAGGTGTACATTGTTAATATCTATAATAATAAAAGTGTAATATGCTAATTAGACCGGATGTCCTTCCAGACGACCTTCTGGACAAAGCTGAGGCAGCGGGCAGAGGCAGAGGCCGCAGGGGCTGAGCCTTTTGCACAAATTTCTTGCATCAGGCCTCTAGTCTATATATATAAAAGCCTAAGCGACCCGCCAACTGGCTGGTAGCTATGACGCGCAATGACCACCAGGGGGCAGACACTCCAACCAGTAGTTATGATGCACACTGACCACCAGGGGGCAGGGGCTCAACGCAGGAGCTGCCGAGCTGCGATGATTTGGCAGCTGTGGTTCTTGGGTGACATACCCGGAACCAGAGAGGAGGGAGCCAGATTCCAGGGTGCGTCACCCAAGAACCACCCTGTCACAATCCGGGACATCTCAGGGGATGTCGGAGAGCCGGTTTCTGCCGGATCCCCGCAGGGCAGGCTGAGGGACCCCACCAGTGCACGAATCCATGCACCGGGCCTCTAGTTATTAAAAATAATTAATGATTTAACTTTTACATTAACAGAAGCCCACTAGTACCTAGCAAGCCAATGGTTAAAGACGTTTGGCTAAATATGGTCTAAAGATGTGCTTTTTTTTTTGTCAGTAATTTGGCTTTTAATATATAACTTAAGTACTGCTATATTTAATACTATATTTAATACTGGTGGGGGTCCCTTGGCCTGGCCTGCAGGGATTGGGCCAAAACTGGCTCTCTGACATCCCTCGAGGGGTCCTGGATTGTGAGAGGGCAGTTCTGGGTGATGCACCCTGGAATCGGGCTCCCTCCTCTCTGGTTCCGGGTGCATCACCGCAGCTGGGCAGCTCCTGTGTTGAGTGTCTGCCCCCTGGTGGTCAGTGCATGTCATAGCTACCGATAGGAGCGCCCGCCCCCTGATGGTCATTGTGAGTCATAGCTACTGGTCGGAGAGTTGAATGGTCGCTTAGGCTTTTATATATATAGATGATAACTTGGATTTAACGATGCTATTGCAACATTAGAAAATCTAGTACCTGGGGCCCACTAGTCCCACAGGAATATGATGGGGTTGAGTTGTCATTGTCCCATTTAGATGGGGGATTTCACTCTTCAGTTTTTCTTCCTGATGCTGGACTGCTTCATCTTTTCTTTTCCCACCTGGCTTCTGTTGACATTTGAGTTTGAAACCCCTGCTTTCAGGTTAGTGTCATTGTGGTATAAAAAGACACCATGGTCACCCAATTACCATCCTAGAATAGTTCTTAATTCTTAATCTCAGATAATCTTTTGGAATATCAGCAAGATTCCCCCCGCCCCCTCCACCCTTTCTTGCTTTGGTGTTTCTTGAAAATGAGGCCACAGAAAGGGGAAGAAGCCCTGGGACCCTCTGAGGAAAACAGCTGCACTGATGTGAACAGGCATGTGAGGGAGGATGGGGTGACCATGCATTCCCATGCTCCCACTTGGGCCAGAGGAGAAACAAAACAGAGTCATGGCATGGACTCAAATCTTTGGGAAAAACAAAACGAAGAATGAGAAATGCTCACACAGCTTACTTTTTGAGAGGAATGCGCCCTTCTGGAGTGACTTGCAGCTTAAGTTTAGTATAGCTGTTGGGGAAGCAGAAAAACAAGTGTTTAATTTTTAAAAAGCAAATCATTTACATTGGAAAAGGGCTCATGCATATGCACAGTTCACTGAAATTTCACAAGCTGTCCACGTCTCTGCAGTTGGTGCCCAGATCAAGAAATAGCATATTATCACACTGTAGCATCCCAGCAGCCCTTCTCACACCCCCTTCCAGAATCTATTCCCCAAAAGGGAACTGTAATCCTGATTTTAACCAACATAGACAATTTTTGCCTGTTTTTGTACTGTATGTAAATGGAATCACATTATTTTATGTCTGGCTTCTTTCACTCAATGCTGTTTTTAAGATCCATCCATGCTTTTGCTTATAGTTGGAAAGCATTCATTCTCATTGCTGTATAGTATTCCATTGTGTGAATATAGCACCTGTATTTATCTCTTCACCTGCTTCTGGACATGTGGCTACAGAGATGAAGCAACAGAATTTGGGACCACTACTTTAAGAAACTGCACACGGTATGATCCAGCAGTCTCATATTGAACAGTACATGCAACAGAAATGCTCATAACATGTTCATCAAAAGACATGGTCTGTAATGTCCATAGCAGCTATTCATAGGGAGACATCTAAACGGAACAGATATTTGCAATAGATAATAAATGATTAGCTAAATAGATGTTTTTACCAGCTATAACATGCTGTGTTTCAGATAAAACATTTATCTCTGTGTCATGGCCCACTAACATTGCCTGCCACAAAAGATGTTCAAAAAATGTCTATTAGATAAATGTCCATTAGATGGTAAAAAGAAAAGGTAAAAAGAAAGGGGTAGAGGAGGAGGTGTATGAAGGGTCAAACTCAAGGTGACAACTAAGGAGATGAGATGATGAGAAAGCATTTAAGTCAGCGGTTCTCAACCTGTGGGCCGCGACCCCTTTGGGGGTCGAATGACCCTTTCACAGGGGTCGCCTAAGACCATCGGAAAACACATATATAATTACATATTGTTTTTGTGATTAATCACTATGCTTTAATTATGTTCAATTTGTAACAATGAAATTGGGGGTCACCACAACATGAGGAACTGTATTAAAGGGTCATGGCATTAGGAAGGTTGAGAACCACTGATTTAAGTGAAGACCTGTGGCTACTGACTCAAACTAAAAGAAATTCATAGAAAAGTCAGAGAGAAATGTGGTCTGAAGCTTAGGTCTGAAATGATGGGTATGTCTTACAGAAGAAGAGGGAAGCGAGAAAGTTGTTAAATAAAATAGAGGGCCACATGGAAATATTTCCACTTGTGGTTTTGATGTTCAAGGCTCCCAATCTAGTGAACATCCACAGCTTATGAAGTGAACACACAAATTCATTGCTGCTTGTCTGGCAGAAATCGTTGTTTTCCCCTGTCAAATAATACTGTAATACAAGAATGACTGGATAATCCTGATTTGCTTTTCTTTCCTTCTCCTTTTAATTCTACTCTTTCCCTTCTCTTTCTCTTTTCTTACTAACACTTGCTGTGATTGTCTGCAAGGGCAGGGATCAGGGCATCAGCCTATTGATTTAAGTTGTGAGAGAAGTTATTGTAGCATCTATCAGAGCTAATAATCTGGAGAAATGAGTACCATATGTTGTTCATTCTCTTCCTCAGATTAATAATTGATATGACACAGGAAGATGCAGAAGCAGATGACGATCTGAAATTAATAATATTTGGTTCTGAGCACAGATGCCAGGATTTGGAAGTGTCTCCTTATTGTGTGTCAAAGGCACTGACATTCAGGGGCGCTCAGGGATGTGCAGTTCAAAGAAAAGGGCGATCTTTCTTGGAAGTCTTCCAATTTCAAACGGAGGAGGAATCAGTTCTCTAACAAATCCCAAAGGGAAATTTATGTTTATCAATGTGAGGAGCCAGTGCAGCATAACAAAAGACTCGCAAAGGAGAAAGGAAACTGACTCAGAAGAAACAACACCCTTGGCAACAAAATTAGAGTTACTTACGCTTTTTCCAGAAATGCGTCCCTGGACATGTTTTGGGCCAGCAGGTTTGTTGCCAAATTGAAAACCTCATTTGTCCATTCCTGGAAAATGTAAATCACACTTGCATTAGCTTAAATACTGTACAGTCATTAGACACATGTTTAACTAGGCTACCAGGAAGACAAATTCATTCAATTTGTATGCCTAAGGGGCTTTTTTCTTTTTCTTTTTTTTTAAAAATTCAAAACCTAAGGAAATGTTCTTTACACGTAAACAAAATTTTTACTGCTTTTAAAAACTCTACTGATAGGAATCTGGTATGTTGCCATTTATAATAATACTTTTTCCTAGTTTTCTTTCATTATCAACAGATAAAGAGTTATAGAAAAGTTTAAAATATAGACAAATATATTTTCAACACACCTATAAATGTAGTCTTCCCACTTTACAATTCAAGCCAAAGCAGCTTCCCAGGAATATTTTAATGCTAATTACGATTCTAGAAGTTCTTTAAACCAGTTTCAGTTGCAATGTCATACAGTATCCAGTATTCTTCTGCCCCCAACTCTGTCAGTTCTTCACTTCGTCCTAATCTTAATCCCTACCTCACATCATTCACTGGTGATCATTCATTGGTTTTCATGAAAATGAAAAAGAGCAAACTTGCAAATAAAGTTGAAGTTCTATTCTGGATGATAATTTTGAATACACAATTAACATTCTAGTCCAAAAAAGAAATGTCTCTAAGAGGTGACATAAGATCTAAGTAGCCTAATTACCCAATGTTATTGTTGGCGTGGCTTTCTCTTGAATGAAATCATGTTTTTTAGTTCAATGGTTTTTGTACCTAAGTTTGTTATTTCTACTGTTTTTTCTTGGTCTTTTGTTTTTTGTCTCCTGACTTAAGACACTAATAATATGCCATCCTATATAATAAAAGGCTAATATGTAAATCAACCGAACAGAAGAATGACTAGTTGCTATGACACACACTGACCACCAGGGGGCAGACATTCAACACAGGAGCTGGTAGTCAGTGTGCTCCCACAGCAGGAATGCCGCTCAGCCAGAAGCCAGGCTCACAGCTGGTGAGTACAGCAGCAGTGGCGGAGCCTTTCCCACCTCCTTAGCAATTGGACATCCCCTGAGGGCTCCTGGACTGTTAGAGGATGCAGGCTGGGCTGAGGGACCCTCCCCCGCCACTGCACGAATGTCATGCACCGGGTCTCTAGTCATGTAATAAAGTAACATTTGAGGGGGACTTCAGGAATGGGGGCAGAGAGTGATGGAATAGGAACAGGGCATTGTAAGCAGAGACAATTGGGGGGTGGGGAGAACAGAGGCAAGCAAACAGGGCAGTATTTAGAGGGAATGGGGAATAGTCTAATATAAATTTGAAAAGAAAGGGGGAGTTGCAACAACAAAAAAGTAAAATTGAGGCCAGAGTACAAACAACATTTAATGTCTACTCAGGTATCTGAAGATAATTTAGCAAAAGAATGTAATATCACCAAAGGCTTTTGTGTGTGTGTGTGTGTGTGTGTGTGTGTGTGTTTTAGGGTGTGAAGTGAGGGGACTATGGCCTAGACCAGCCGTGGGCAAACTATGGCCCACGGGCCGGATCCGGCCTGTTTGAAATGAATAACACTAAAAAAAAAAAAAAAAAGACCGTACCCTTTTATGTAATGATGTTTACTTTGAATTTATATTAGTTCACACAAACGCTCCATCCATGCTTTTGTTCCGGCCCTCCGGTCCAGTTTAAGAACCCATTGTGGCCCTCAAGTCAAAAAGTTTGCCCACCCCTGGCCTAGACTGTGTGTTGGGAAGATTATCTGGCAGCCTTGTCAAAGATGGGTTTGAGGCTGAGAAACCAAACAGGGGGAATTCATTTAGGAAGTTTAATAGTCCAGGTGAGAAGCACAGGCACTTTGAACTCCATATTGTAGGTGGAGGACTTGGGAAAAACAGAATAGAACAACTGTGAGTGAAGCCAAATAACTGACCACCAAGCTTGATGTATTCACAGAAAACAATAGAAATAACTTTTTAAAAGCTTTAAAATAAAGCTTCTTCAAAGCAAATCTGAAACTAAGAGTTATAACGACTGGCACTGATTTTTAAAATATGGTTCTGGTTTAATATTTTCTGGGCTAAGGATCAAATTTTAGGTATTTCTAGCTCCCTGGCAACTTTATACATTAGTGAAAATATTTATAATTTATGGCAATGGACTACTTTGTATACTTACTGGGGCCAATCCCACACCAGAAATACGTACAGTGAAGGCATTATAAAGAGTGGGGGAAATTTAACTGTTTCTGATCTTCTGGTTGAAAACTAAGGGTGGGACAAAAGAAGGTTTACACTTGTGAGTACACTAAACACAGAGCTTATTCTTGTATTATTATTTATTTATTATTGTATTTTCCATCAGAATACCTGTAAACCCACTTTTGCTTCACCCCATAATGTGAACAACATTTAACTTTCTAGTAGCCACATTTAAAAAAGAAAAAAAAGCAAAACAAAAAACCCCAACAAAACCAGGGAGACTAATTTTAATAATACATTTTATTTAACCCAATATTTTTTAAAATATTATTAATCATGTGATCAACATAAAATTACTGATATACTTTACATTTTTTAATGTGCTCAGTCTTTGAAATGAGGTGTGCATTTTGCACTTATTGCTCACCTCAATTGCATTGGCAATCTTTCAAGTGCTCAATAGCCACACAGGTGGCTGGTGGTTGTGGCTGCCACATGGGCCAGTGCAGGTCTCTTGGATCCTTTGCTCTTTTTATGGATCCTTTATGAAGCCAGCTGTAGGAGAGCTTCATCACCACCTTCACTGCACAGCCACAGTTAGCTCATTACGACAGTAAAGCATAATTTATTTCATCGCATTCTCAGAAGGTGACCATCTAAATTTCCAAGTGTGGAATCCTTACAATCCATTGGCCTCCTGCAATCTTTTGAGATACATAAGAGATCTCATCTAGGCTGAGTCAAAGATTGGGGGTGGGGGTGGGGAAGCAATGACCAAGAGAATTTAGAAATAATCCAACTCTTGGCTTGGTGATGGTCACTGGACTAAACGGTATGTGTCCTACTTTGGATTCCCGAGTAGCAGACCCTGAGACAAGGATTTATGAGGAATGGTTTATTACAAAGTGTTCCCTGCAACATTATGGGAACATGAGCAGGCCTGGGATGGGAAGAAAGCAGAATGGTGAGATACCAAGCAAATTCAGGCAGATGGTAAGTTTGGCCTAATTCTTTCCTGTGTAGACCTCACCTCAAAGGTGAGTTTTCTGATCAGGGGCTAGGGACCTGGAGTATGGTGAAACCTGTGCCTGTTATTCTTGGTTCAGGCTGCTGGAGGGGATGGAAATCCCCAGGTACTTCCTGATTTCCTTGAGAGCAGGCAAAAACGGGGTTCCAGCATCCAGAGGGAACTGCCAACAGAGACACGGGTGCTAGTTGTTGGGAGTGAAAGTCCACCGAGGTGTTGTGTGTGAGAATGGCAAAGGAATCAGAGGGGATATGGGCAGAGCACTGCTTATTTCTAGACTTTTGAGTGCCAGCAGTAGCCAAAACCTTGGGAAAATTGGTTTACATGCATACGTTCCAGGGCAGCGCTTTCCAAACTTTCATGTGCAAACAAATCACTGGGGTCTTGTTGAAATATAAATGCTGATTCAGGACATCTGGGGAGGGTATAGAGCCATGGTCTGCAAACTGTGGCTCGAGAGTCACATGCGGCTCTTTGGCCCCTTGAGTGTGGCTCTTCCGAAGCCTTAGGAGTGCCCTAATTAAGTTAATAACAATGTACCTACCTATACAGTTTAAGTTTAAAAAATTTGGCTCGCAAAAGAAATTTCAATCGTTGTACTGTTGATATTTGGCTCTGTTGGCTAATGAGTTTGTCGACCACTGGTACAGAGGATCTGTATTTCCTACAAGCTTCCAAGTGAGGTCTATGCTGTAGCATATCACGGAGAAGCAAAATTCTAGAGTCGACTTGCAGCACTGACTGACTGACTGTTAGAAATGTAGGACTTTAGGCTCCACACCAGACCTTCTGACTCAGATTTGCGTTTTTTTTTCTTTTTCATAAAATCCTTATATTTTTATGCGTATTAAAGTTTGAGCATACTGCTGGGCCAGGGACAACATTTTGAATAACAATGTGTCCCAGGACCTGGTCTAGGAAGCATTGCTCTAAGCTTTGTCTGCTCATTTTGCAGGCAAATAAAGAAATTACTTAGGTTATTAGTTTTAGAATAACCCAAAGCCCTCAGGGCTGCATTAAGCACGACGTGGCTAAGGCGATGCAGCCAGAGCAGCTTAAAGGAGTCTCTGTTCATCTTGAAATGATGACGTGCTTTCCTGCAGTGTAGACAGATCTGACCCTGGCAGGGCCCCCTCAGTCCAGTGCTGGGCCCTGGTTAGTTTGGCAGCTTCTTATTTAATTGGGAGGACTTGTTTTTACCTGCAGAGACTTAGTTTTGATGATTTGACACCAAACTTGGTTCAGCCCCTGCGATTTAGAACCCTTGAAGCGCCTTAAGTGACATTTCCTGCCTTATGGTCCATTTCTTCTCATAAAACGGATAAGAGACCCAAACTAGAGAAAACTAAAAATGAACTTGCATGGAGTTTCACCTGGAGTTGAAATGGGCATGTTTGTATATTACATGTGAGATTATTTCTGCAATTCCTGCGCCCGCCCCCTGCCTCCCACCCGCCCAGTGCTGGTGCCATCAATGAGCTGTCAGTCTCTTCACCTTAAGAGAGATCAGGTTTTCCTACTTTGTCACAAAGTTAATGTACATTTATTTCGAAAGCTATTTAAATTCCGTCATACTTGGCACGGGAAATATGTGTTTGCTTAATACTACTAACAATTATTTCACAATTCTCTATTACCCTCCTAGGTATTGTTGGAGAATTTGCTCTGCACTGAGCTAAGTTCTTTGCATCCAAGATCGTAATTAATTCTTACAACAATTCTCTAGGAGGTAGGTACTGTTCTTAGCCTCATTTTACCGATGAGGATTCAGTTTCATAGCACTTCTAAAACGTATGTCCT